CACACACACACACACACACACACACACACACACACTTACAATTAAAGCACATAAACACACACGGGCTCACACAACACAGTGATGTGTTTATGTATGGTGGCTGAACAGAGGGCTCTTTTCTGTCACTCAGAACAATGCTGGAAGCGATTCAAAGCCACTTCTACTGTAGRCATTTTGTCTCGGCCGTTCCTTTGCTTTATTGTACTCCTTTTGTTCAGAACGTTTAGTTGAAAAGAGAAATTTACGCATAAGCRTTTCTAATCTAAATGTGCTGTGTGTGTGTGTTTGTTGCGCTTGTGTTTACATGAACATGTATGTGGGACAGGGGGCAACAGATAGCAGGGGACAAAATATGTTGTGATGTATCATGTGACACCAGAACACAATGGGTCACACTATAAAAACAAATCGGAGAAGGCTAGGGAAGAAAAACACAAATGAGACATGTACGGAAAGTAAACTTGCTGTGATGCTGAAAATGTATTTGAATGCAGAATAAATTGTGAAATCCAAAGGTTTATTTGTTCCAAAAGAAACATGCTACCTCTTATTTGTCATCAGAAAAAAACAAGCATTTAGATTTTATTTTATTTCAGGATTTAAGCCCACACAACCTTAATATAATCCATTAGACCAATAAATTGTAAATACCTAGCAAAAATGTTGGTGCAATATAAGATTAAGCCTTGGGATGTATTTAATTACAAATAAATATGATAATTACTGACCATTTCTGTTACAGTGTCCCACCCAAATGCCTTAACACCACTAAAGCTCCTGGAAGTCAAAGGTGTTTCCTTTCAGAGATTATTACCAGAACTCCTCCCTCTCAACTAACAACAAACAGAAGCCATAGTGTTTTCTGTAAACTGAGTATTCTTCAGCTGTGATTACTGCAAGCTGCACCCTATAAAAACACTGGCAACCTGCTGACGTCAATAAATCTCCTTTGTTAACAATGGCCAGCATTGTTTAGCCACTAACGTGTACTCAGTTTAACTTRGCAAAAACTAGTTAACCAAATGTAAGTTGGATCTGGTTGAAGTGAACAATGATCCTCCCATTTGTAAGAAAAGTTCAGCTGGGAAAGCTTAAAAAAGAGAATCTATGTTACATGATTATGTTCTGCTAACCAAGCAACCAACCAAACAGCATTGGCCTCCCACAACAGGACAATGTGAACCCCATGTAGATCTCAGATCAGAATCCGGAAGACCAAGCCAGAACAAGACCAGCTTACCTGTGAACTGGTTCCAGGACAAGTTTTAAATCCCCTCCCCGTCCTCGTTAATGAGCAGGACATTGCCCTTATTAGGCAATAAAAACAAAGCTCAGATAATTGTTTTGGGGTGTGGATTCTTGTTCTTTCACATACTTCTTAGCTTCGGCTGTATGCTCAAAAATCACTTTACCATTTATTATTACTTTCACATTTAAGAGAAATGTTATGTAACTCCATGGTGTGAGCGGGAAAAGTAGGCGGGGCTTAAAGCTCCACATTACTGATCACAACAGTACAACGTGGCTGCTACAATAAAAACCTTCCTGCTGGCTTTCGTTCTCAACAACAACAACAGGCAAAGACAGTTGTTTTATTAGTATAATACAGGTGTAAAAAACCCCACCAACCATTCACAGCATGTGGCTAAAACTAGTTGATTAATGCTGTATTGGTTTATTTAAAAAAAGGCACAAAAGTTATAGTCAAAACCATCAGTAAAGAAACATAAGGAAAAGTTTTGCATCTTTATTTTCCCATGTCTCGTATAAACTGCCTCTTTTAAAGAACCCAACATTTTATCTCCATCTTGATAGAGTGAGTAGAGTAGTGAGGGACAAAAGGTCAAACTTGAGCTGCTCAATTAATTGCATTTTATTCACAATTTTGGCTCCCCGTAATCTAATAAACATAATCAACTGATATTGATCAACAGATACTGGAAAAAAAGGGAAGTTCCTTAATGGAACACAAAGGAAAGGCAAATCAATTGCTAATCAATACGCATGGTTATTGAGGGTCATTCTGTAGATGACATAACATGACATCGATTAACCACGTGCTCCAAACTGTCAAAAAGATRTTCAGCTTTCAAATGTTTAAATTAAAAGGTCCATGATGAAAAGAATATATGGCAAGAAACCCACAATTAAAAAGCTGAATTTAGATAAATAAGTCTGCACAATTATTTACTTGTTTATCATTAGGTAGTCAATGACATGACATGAAGTTGTGATAGGTTTGCTTTTTCAATTAAGCTTTAAAATCTGTGTCAAGTCTACATAAAGGTAGCTTGTAAAAAAGAATACACAGCAGCCATGTACTGGTCAGATAATAACAGGATAATATTAATGCCACTGATGGYATAAAAAATATTCTGCAGTCTTGTTGAAATCACCTAGAAGAACACTAAAGAACATCTTTGCTTTCAACACAACAAAAAAAAGATGAGCCAAGTAGTGCTGCTGGTCTCTTGATGAACAGTTGTTTTCTTTACCTTTCAAGGTGTCCTGCTCGGCCCTCATGATGTCAATCAGTGAGCTCTCCAATGGGCCCATGTTGAAGCTGTCAATTGACCTGTTGCGTTCCTAAAACCAGAAAAGAAAGGAAGAAGAAACTTTTGAGATTTCTTTCTCTTGCTTTGAACTCACACAGATTACTTCCTTAATTACTGTAAAGGCCAACAATCTGTTTGGCATCAAGTTGGACCAATTCCACATACCTTTAAAACATTAAAAGGCAGCTGCCCGCACATGTCCTATTGACTTAATTTTGAATACAGAGCCTCGTAGACGCTACTAGGAGTTTCAAAATTAAATACCACTGTGTCAAAATGTCTSTGTAGGCCCTCTCTTTTTGATTGACACCTCTTTTGATCAACTGATGCTCTATGATCACTCCAGAGCAAATAATAAAATAATATCTAAGAATAAATTATGTTTTTGTTATACTTAGAATAATTTTCACTGTTGAGGTTTTAAAAAAAGTTTTACATTTACAGTAAAGGTGGGCGATACATGTCGCAGACGATATTATCGTCCATGTTGCTTTGAAGATATGAAATTTTACATTATCGAGTTTTCATACTGTCTCAAAAAGATGACAAATACGGTRGTGAAGACAGAGGCATAAGTCTCCATTTGYGGAATATTTGCCACAGAAACCAATCAGCAGGAAGGATTGAGTCACGTGATTGGGGTCRRTGGYGWCTRAACTAAACAGCTCGACAGGCAGAATTCAGCATYGGACTCGCAGCAGCTAAAACCACGGGGCTTAAAGTTCCGTCGCCACAACAGATTTTCATAACTTTGAACTTGGCCAGTTGCAGTCTTGTTAAACCCGCCCAGTCTGCTCCAAACGAGATGCTACTTTCAACAAACCAAACAAACCCCAGAGCACTTTTATCCARTGAGAGCAGAGCCGGGCGGGTCAGCAGGAGCAGCGGTCCTCCTGAGTGGGTAAACCTCTCCTCCCTCACGTCACTGCTGGAACTATGGCCTCTAAAACCTAACTTTATATWAAATATTTGTGCTCAGAGCACCATTATCCAAAAGACATGTCCAACTTTGCATGTGTGACCAAGCTCCTCATGCAAATGTTGCACGTGACGTGCAACATTCAAACAGTTTGTTAGTTTATCACACTTTTGCTCTCCTATTCTACAAAATTTCACAAGTTATAAAGTATTCTGCCACAWGGAGAATACTCCAATAACATAAGCACAAAGTATAAACACCCCCAACGCTGGCGAGGATGCACGCACTCAAATGTTTTTTGTAGTTTATCATATCCATAGATGTCCTAGTAAGCAAGCAGGGTACAGCATGTTTTTTTTTTGAGAAAGAAAGAAAGATATCATCAGATTATTGATATCACCAAAAAAAGAGATTTTTTTGTCCATATCGCCCAGCCCTAATTTACAGTGAGACAAAGCTTTTGCTCCAAAGAGATGAAGAACAGCATCTAATTTAGTTTGAGTTTGCTTTTTCCAGGTGTTTGGAGCATTATTGGGATGAATGTTAAGGGGTTAATGCAGCACTGACCCAATTAGCCCACACTAGCCAAAGAGCAGCGAAAAGGAGATGGCCGTTCTCGTTTACACATGAAAATATGGGCTGAGCACTTCACATTCACTCACACACATACTGAACACCTGTGACCACAGTAATAAAAGGATAAATTCAAATAGAACAGTCAGACGCTGCCCTGTTGCTTCACTTCGTTTTCTTCTCAAAATGTCAAATGTATAAATTCATTCAAGGCAAAGTCATTGTCTCAAAAATGTTATTTTCTTTGTAGTTTGTTAAAATGATCTATTTATTTTTTAGGAATATATCCTTCTGYGCATGTGTTTTATGGCTTTAACTGTGTATCTTTAAAAGTTGACTAAAAAAAATGATGTAAAACAAACACCCCTCATAGAGGTGGCAGAGTAACAGTTAACAGTAAACAAGCCAATATCTGTTCGTCAACTAGGCCGCAAATAACAAGGGCATCCTTGGCATACCAGCCATGCAAAATGTCTGCGTATGCACGCGAACGTGTAAACACTCACACATATGCTCACACGCAGAAAAGACGTCCCCGTGCACAAACACACACAACAAGTGCCACGCTGATAAGGTTTTGGTCTCGACTCCACCTCGACCAAACACGCAGCCGACGAAAACAACTGGTGAAACTGACAAATTCTTCTGGTTTCCTTCKTTTCAAAACCAACAAAGACCACACTATGACAACTCCTATCGCTATTGTTTTCTTTTAAAAGGGGCTTTAAATGCCTAATTTCCCCACAACGTCACATGTTTCAATGCCTCATTGCTTCCTTCCGTATATTTTTACAGTTTTCCAATCATCCTATGATCAATGTCACTTCAAAAGCAGAAATCCCTCAAATAGTATATTTATTCTCAGCCATGCATCAGAAATTTCACACTTTTAAGAACCAATGACTCCTCTGGCTGCAAGTTGTTCGTCACCCTGTTGCACCTGATGCTAAAACGTTTAATGTTTACTCTCTTAAAACCAACTGGTCAAGATTTCCTGCAGCACGGAGTTTTGATTTTTCCAATAAGGTCTTTGAAATGTACACAGATACTTTTCAGTTTACCTGGTTAGGATTATCACACACATGCAAAACAAGCCCCATACTAATAACACTTAATGGCATAGCAGGACAGAGAGGATGCTCTTCAACATACAGGTATGTGCTTTCAAAAGATCAATATGAACGCATAACATTTAAAAACATCCACTTACAACCAAGTCTGACAACATGCTTGACTTACAAACCACTGAACAAAACTCTGCATTAACACTGATGCTCTTTTCCTAAGTTAAACGTGGTGCATGAATCAGGAAAATGTGTTTTTTCAAGCTTAAAAACTGGAAAGTAAAGGCATTATAATATTGCAAAATTAATCAAATGTTATATTTTTATGCCATTTGTACAGGACCTTTACATTCTCATGCTGTATATTCATCTGTACAGATGCATAGCAAGGCATGTGGTCACAAGCACATTTCACAATATGGACAATACAGATAAATATAACACTGTTTAACTGAATAATGTTATCTCTTGATTGTGACACACTATCTATACTTTTTGTCTGTTCTTTAACACCACGTCTTACTCTGTATGTTSCATCTCTGTGACGTCTTGTGAATAAAAAAATAAAGTCACGTCTTTTGAAAAGCACCCTGACAAGAACATCAACACTTCAAGATGAGCCAGTGCTCTGACTGATAATAGTTAGAACTTGTACAACAAGAATTACCCAACATGCCAGTCAACATGTAAGCAATTCTTTATTCTCTCGGTCTTTCTTTTCAGTCGCCACAGTCTTGTTGACTTGGCTCTTTAGTTTTCTTTTTCTTTSTTTTTAATCAAAAAAGTAGGTAAACTGTTGAAACTGAGGGTAATGTCAACAAGGGAAGCGTGAGTGTGAAACCACTCTGGAAAGAAAAGGTCATAGCATACTATGTTACCATGAACTCCACAGAGGTCAAATGTTAAAGGGTTCAAAAAAACAGGCCTGCGTGTGAACCACATGACCCRGGCTCCACCAGGCAGCCAACCCACTTCTTCACCAACCGTCTGCCGTCTGCAGTGTCTCCCAAATTTAAAAGCTACTTTGAGTGTCTGACCAGCTAAGAGTGTAGTTGGGTATCTGGCAAGCTGGCTGGTTAAAAAATCCAAASCTTTCAACTGTAGCCAGGTTTTAACAGCTCCTGCACATCTCCCACACCGACTGAAAGACCCAACCAAAAACAGAAATAGAACGATAGAACACACCCAGTGTGCACTCTCTCCCTCAAAACAAATATAAGCACAGGGATAAAGACCAGGCTGTGTCTTCTGTTTTCTCATATCCGCCATGATATCAAATGCAAGCATAGGCTGTTGCTTCAGGTCAAACAAACCAAATGGCAGATAAAGATCTGTAACAAGTGAAGGACTGATTACAATGGAAAACATACACACCTAATCAGCATAATCCTGCGCAATGAAACACGTACTGATGCGAGGCGACCGATTCAGCTTTCCAGGCTTTGTGTTTACGAGTTTCAACACCATCTTCTTTTGATGGCGTAGTTATATTTTATTGTTCCAGGATGATAGAAATTCATTGCGTATGTCTGAGATGGATTCTGGTAAGGCTGAGGCTCGGGGTGGAACTCAGCAGTTGCTAAGCATTATCCTTCAGTGGTGAAGAAATTATGATTAATCATCAGTTTTGGGCATCCTTCGTTTTCAACAAACTGGACAGCTGACCTGCAAACTACTTATCCCTGACAGATTGAAGGGCACACACACACACATATACACACATCTGAGGCGAGAATGACTCACTTTATAGGGCAGTTCATGCCATTTAAATCTATGAGAAACTGACCGCAGTAACTCAAGGCCATAGATATCCTTCGTTACATTCAGGATGTTCAGGACACTTCAGGATCATCATCATTTTATCTTTATTTCAYTCAACCACATACCGTATCTGTGCATTAGATAGCCCTGCACTACACATCACATATAACAGATCAAGTTCCTACAATCTTTATGTTTATTTTCTGGCGTTAATAACCTAACATAGAGAAGAATTTTAATTGTYATAAAGATTTTAGTTATACAAATGTATTCAATCCTTTTAAGAGCAAAAGTGACACCGTTTTCCTATWATAAAAAGAACTAAAAGACTTGTCAAATACATAGTGTGTGTGCTAAAGATATAATTTAATGAGACAATTACCTCTGCTGGAAACACAGTAGGTACAGATTTGCAAACTTGGCCGATGTAGCCTTAAGTTTAAAAATACGAGCGCTGAAGTCATTAGTCCATTTATTATTGAATTGGCTGTCACACATTGATCTATAATGCTGACAGTAGACAGCAAAGTGTAGGCAGACATTCCTCTGGATGTTTTTGAAAACATTTCAGAAATTGGCCAGGTTTTAATATTTAAAAAGAAAATAAATTATTAGAAAAAAAAAAAACCCACTGAAAACTGTGACAGGGTATGGTGGCCAAGCTGTGATGACGGAGGCAGATGCCAAATTAAAATTAGAGTTTTTGTGACATGT